AAGGTCTTCAATGAGCATGACTTGGTAAACTTTGCGGAAGAAGCTTGTAATTGGATCTTTAACTTGAATTGACGTTGCTTCACTCTACAATTCCGCCAACCTCCATTTGATATCGTCGTTGAAGCGCTATTCCATCCATCCTTCAACTACGTTGTTTGTCTATAATAAATAAGAAAACACAAATACTAGACAAACAACATTAGTGGTAAATTATTTGTTAAACATCATCAAAACAAGAAGGCCAACAGTATACTGACGAGTCGACTCAGCAGAAACAAAAAGACAACACAACTAGATTTCGTGAGTCGACTCATGACAGTCATGGGTCGACTCAACCTGTTGAGTTGACTCATGATGAGCCGTGGGTCGACTCACGAGCTGAACAAAGCATTTCTCCCAACTGTAACTTGTTCAACACGATCCACACTTCCATTTTTCTGATCTACACTTCTATAGTCATCGATTCTCGACTATAATACAGTGAGAAAAACATATTTATTATGAGAAACGATTTTCTTGTAGGTAAAATCTAACATTTAACTCCTATACATGAAAGAAAGCATTTAATCAAAATAAAACTCACATTTTTATTCTTTAAATAAAATTTCAGATCTGGGTTTTCATGAAAAAACTTGTTGGTGGGGATTTAAAATCCGAAATACATGATCTCTAGCATTAACCCTAACAAAGATGTTGATTTATACTTGAAAATAAGTCTTAGGTTCAATAAAACCTATGGAAAACAGTTGTAAACAATTAGAAACATGGGAGAAGGGTTGGGCGAGATGTTACTCGCCTCAAAAGTGATGATGAAAAACCCCCTTCGCTGCAATCCACGAAAAGCCGCTGAAAATCCCCAAAAATCGCCCAAGAAATCCCAAAAACGAGCTAGGGTTTTGAGGGGGAGAAGAGGCTAGGGTTTCTCTAGGGTTTTCTGATGAACAAGAGTGTTTTCGGGTGGGGAGAAACATATATGAGTGGATAAAACCCGACCCGAAACCCAAACAAACCCGACTCAGAAAACCAGAAAAACCCCGATGAGTCGATGGGTCGACTCATGACTCATGGGTCGACTCATGATATAATGAGTCGACTCAGCAGAGACTAAATAACAACAGGACTCGATTTAGTGAGTCGACTCATGACAGTCATGGGTCGACTCATGGACTAGAAACTGCATACTCTGACTTTGCTGCATATAATTGAAATCTAGCACACTCAACCTCATTACTGATGTGCATATACATACTCAAAAATCTACGGGGTCTTACAGCAGGATGTTTGATCGACGATCACAGGACATGCTTAGATCCGTATACTGTACAAGCGGTGATGTGCTTACAAGATTGGTGGAGGTACGAGAAGCGAACGCAAGGCATCGATCGGATGGCTAATTAAAGATAAATTTGAAGAATTGGGACTAGCAGATAGATATAAAGAATAAATAATATTCATCAAATTGTAATTTTTATATCTTAGCTTAAAATTTGTAAAGAATTATTTTGGAAATAGTTGCAAATGATAGTGATATAGGTGAGTAGGTGCCAACCTAGTTGGGATGTACTTATCTATTGTGATGCGATGAATTCTAAAATAAATTTATACTTGTAATTTATAAATAATTTATTAATTGTTAATAAAGAATTTATGTTTATAATTTTTTATTTGTAATTTATGTCATTTTAAGTGATTAATCAAATTATTGTTTTTTATTAATTTTTTGTCTTTTTTTTGTATAATTTAAATTTTAAATATAATTAAAAAAATAAACCGGGCTGGCCCGGAACCCGGCCCGATCGGGCCCGGGCCCGGACCCGGCCCGGGGTACCCGGGTCCAGGCTCCGGTTTTGCCCTACCTAGGCCCGGATTTCCGGGCCGGGCCGGGACGGATGGACACGCCTATCCATCACCCTTAAATCACACCATAAATTTAGATCACATCTCTTCTAACCCTTCTATTTAATGTTATTTTTTATTATATATTAGAATTGTATAATTAATTTAAATTTAAAAAATTAAAAAAAAATATGTTTTAATAAAAATTAACTAAAATTGAGAGATGATGGAATGATGTCTAAAATATCGGAAAAAAGGGAAAAAGAGGAAAAACTTTGTTTTTTATTTTATTTGTTTTTTGATTTTATTACAATAATAAGTCCAAAAAATTACAAATTATTATAATAATAATATCTTATGAGCAATCCAATAGTTCTTCTTGATTAATTAACACTAAAGTAAATAATTATTATTAATAATAGTAAGTTTTAAATATATTAAAAGTAGTCTTATCATCAAAATGCATGACTTATATGCTTATTAATTATTGAAAATTATCCTTGCTTATATTAACAATTGTCCCACTAAAATATCTCATTTTAGAAAATTACTTTTAATTATCCTACTAAAATATCTTACTTTAAAAAATTATCTCATACTAAAAATTGTTCCACTTCTATCAAAAATATTCTAGTTGACTAACACTTAGAGAAAACAATGTTATTTATTTAGTTTGTGGATAATCATATTATTCAAGAAATTTATTATTTCTAATTATCTTATGAGCTTAACTGTAGAAAAAGCAGGTATTTCACTGTTTAGATTATTAATTGGGTTGTCCTATAAAATACTTCTAAGGAGATTAATTTTTCCTAAGGTGGGGTGAGTCAAGTAGAACTTAAAAGTAGAATTAGGATAATTTGTAGAATAAAATTTTATAGTGTTAGAATTAGAACTAGAAAAAAAATTACAGTGTTAATCAACTAGAGCTGTAACAAGACTAGAACTGGGATAACCGTACAAAATTATCCCACTTTTTTTACTTTTCAATATAAAATTAAGAGTTCCAACCTCTCAAATTATCCCAAGTTCTAGCTTGGAACTAGGTTGGAAGAAACCAGAACTCTCCATTTTATTTTCTTTATTTTTATTTTTTCTTTACCTCTTTGCTTAGATGATCATCACCATCATTAGACCATGCTTTCAGATTGGATATCGTCTCCTCTTAGGGGCTGTTTGGTTCAATTTCTATATAAAAGAGGAAAAAAAATTACTCAAAATTTGATTTCCTTGTATTTTTATAAAATTTGTAGGAAAAATTTATAGAACTCAAAAGAGTATCATATTTCTTATTTTTTTGCTATATCTTTGTTTGGTTCAAAGTATGAAAAAGTTTCTAACTTTATAGAAAATATGTTATTTTCCTTTTCTTTTGTTTGGTTGGATGTCACTTTATAGAAAATAGCTTACTAACAATGCCCGTGGGAAATTACATGGGAAGGGTACTGATGTACTTAATTATTGTTTTAATTTATGCGTCATATTTCTGGGTGATTTTCGTCCATTTTGAGCGGAAATTAATTTATATAAAATGGGGTAATTTTCTGTACTTTATAGAAAACTTTCCTGTAAATTTTTTTTGAACCAAACACAGTTTATAAAAATCTCCAGAAAAGTTTTATTTACAAAACTGCCACTATCAACCATTTTCTATAAAGTTTTCTATAAAACCACTCAACCAAACAGCCCCTTAGTCATCTTTTATATTTTCTTTTTTATCGTATATCATAATAATATAATTAAATTAAAAGTAAAGAAAGTATAGATCCTTAATTTATTTGAAAATAAAATTGAGAGATGACTAAGGGGCTGTTTGTATAGATACTTTATAGAAAACTTTCCTGTAAATTTTTTTTGAACCAAACACAGTTTATAAAAATCTCCAGAAAAGTTTTATTTACAAAACTGCCACTATCAACCATTTTCTATAAAGTTTTCTATGAAACCACTCAACCAAACAGCCCCTTAGTCATCTTTTATATTTTCTTTTTTATCGTATATCATAATAATATAATTAAATTAAAAGTAAAGAAAGTATAGATCCTTAATTTATTTGAAAATAAAATTGAGAGATGACTAAGGGGCTGTTTGTATAGATACTTTATAGAAAACTTTCCTGTAAATTTTTTTTGAACCAAACACAGTTTATAAAAATCTCCAGAAAAGTTTTATTTACAAAACTGCCACTATCAACCATTTTCTATAAAGTTTTCTATAAAACCACTCAACCAAACAGCCCCTTAGTCATCTTTTATATTTTCTTTTTTATCGTATATCATAATAATATAATTAAATTAAAAGTAAAGAAAGTATAGATCCTTAATTTATTTGAAAATAAAATTGAGAGATGACAAACAGAGATATCAGGGAGCAAAAAAGAAGGAAAATATGAGAAACCTTTTTTAGACTTGTACTATAATAATAATTAAAAAATAAAAAAAACTACAGCATATATATTATATAATAATAATTGACAATACCTTATAGTCTAACAAAAAGTTATTTAATAGTAACTAACATTCTAGTAAACAAGTATCAATTAATAATAGGAAGTTTAAAATACATGAATAGTATTTATATCATCAAAATGCATAAATATATACTTCATGATCATCAAATATTTCATTTAATTAGAATATCAGGCTTCACCAAATTGTTCTCAACTATCCCACTAAAATATCCCACTAGCAAAACATTATTCCAATTTTAAGGTTATCCAAATTCGCGTGAAAATGTCCCAATTGGCTAACACCCCTTAAGAAACTTAATTTGGTTTAACTGTATTTGCTTGAAGCCAAATTAGCTTGGGGCTCGTCTAAAATGAAAACGAAGCATATCCAACAGAGTCCGTATTGATTTTAAGAACCTGACATGAGTATATTTTTGATTAATTTCCTCCAAGGTTACCATCTATGAGATGTCTTAACGGTTACTCTTCAAAGCGCGCGTAATAAGGTAATGTTCGTTCATCATCTCATAAATAGGCTAAGCGCAGCGGCCGGAGCCCACAACTTCAGTATACGTCTAAAATACGTCGGCATGGGAAAAGCATATTTTCTTCTCCATTCAAATACCATCTCAAGCTCACCACAACATCTATGCACAAAGAATATAATGAGCTGCAAATCTTTCAAGGCCCAACACCACAAATTATTCAAAAGGAATGACAAGACTAAAACATATTCAGTAATCAACCCAATTTGTCGAATATAGACAATTCACAAAGTATTAAAAGTATGTATTTACAAAGATCCTGGGTTTTTTAATAGAGCATATCCATAAAAAGAGAAAGAAGATGGGAGGAAAGAAAAACGAAAAAAGAAGCAACCCATAACTTCCACAGGAGTACATAAAGTTCAAACCTCTTTTAACCAATACCTCTAATCCCTCCCACGCTAAAAAATAGGAAGTGAATAACTGCTTGTCCTGGCTTTTCTTGAAGGAAAATATATAGGAGAAATGATAATCATTGAGACCCATTTGCGACTAGTATCTGCACCGCGTGATGAGAGTCTTTACTGACCAAGGTTTCCCAAAAGCCTCTCCACTGCAGCATGAACATTTCCAGCTGTGGCGCTGAGTGCACGAATGTTTTCCTGAGTGTCGAAGAAACCCATTTCCTGGAGCTGGGTTAGCTGTGTCGCATACAACTCTTCTGGTGGAACTGGAAAAATGGTGGCAGATAAAAAGAAGTTTTATTTAAACATGTAATCGATAAAAAGTGAATTAACATAGGGTTAATAGCATATGGACCTCCTAACGTATCGTGCTTTAGAACTTATTGTCCATGTAGGTTGATTTTCACATAGACCCTCAAGTGAAATTATTTTCACTCTTTTACCCTCGGTGAAATTTTCGCAGATGTTTACACCTGGGAAATTAGTGTTCTATCTGAGGGTAAAAAAGTCAAAAAGCATCCAAGCGGACATCTGCCAGAATGAAATTGCAGGGCAATAAATATCCGAAGTGTGATATTACAGGGTCTGTGTGCAATTAACCGATTAACATAAGTACAGATGTTAGAATGCCTAACCATTGGAGGGATTGGGCACACCGAGACCACCAGCACCAAGTCCCCCGAACATGTTCATCAAGAAATCCATGTTTGGCATCCCTGCAGTACAATGACATGATAATAAACGACAGGGAAAAGATCTACTTGGTTGATGAACTTTGTAGCTTCTGTAGGAGAAAAACAGATTCATATTTTATATTTAGAGGAGGTCCTTACCCGCACCACCAGCGGTCTGGTTTTGTCCCCTGCATTACACCAACGAAAATAGAAATTAGAGTTCCACAGAAACATGGGAGGGGAAATGAAAATTGATCACCACAAATGATGAGAGCTTTTAAGCTTGAATTTTACAATAAATCAAATGTAATCGCAAAAATCCATATATATCTACTATAAACTTTACATGAATGTTTGAGGTAAGGTGATTTGTTACTTTCATAGTTGGTTATCACCTCTACATGAAAAGGAAAACCTCACCATACTAACTAAGAGACCCAATATAATTAAGCCCCGTTCAGCCACCAAGTGGGTCTACTGTGGCTCCCACTCCCTTCCACAACAGAAAGAAACCAGCCCAATAATCAAAACAGAGGGGAGTAAGGGAAGAGGGTTAAAGTTTAACCAGACCAATATACAGACCAAGAAAGATGGAATATTGGAACATGGTAGATACGCCAGCATAAATGCAGTTGGTTGATTGAAACCCCTAAACCCGTGACTAAAGAATATAATACTTAAACGGCCAAGGGTCAAAATTTTTAACGAAAAACTTTCTACAATTTACTTGCAAAATGCAAAGTAGTATCTTATTGTGTACTAGAGATATTGAACCTCTTCGGAAAAGAGTGACTGCAAGGACATGAGGTGCTGCAGGAAAAGAGGAAAAAGTTATTCAGGAAATGATATGAAATAGAATCTCTTGGTAATTAAAGTCAACCTGCATTGTTTCAGGGTTAGTCATCTGGCGAATAAAATCTGGATTTTGCAACATCTCCCTTAGCTGGGGATTAGAGTCCATTGCAGTTTGCAGCTGGGGATTCAGACTAAGAACCTAGAAGCATTTTAGAAATTGAAAATTAGCAAAAATACATTTTTTACTGCTATTTCAGTAAATAAATGTAAAACAAATCACAATTAACCTGATTCATATACTGAGGGTTGGAAATAAGACTCTGCATCATTTGATTTATTGCCGGGTTTTGCATAACCTGACTCAAGGTGGAAGGGTCAGGCATGCTGCCAGCCAGACTCTCCAAGTTTGGTATTCCAAGGCCGCCTAACCCAGCAATGCCAGGTGCTCTGGCTTCACTCACAGATCTTGCATTGTTTGGTTGCGTACCTCCTGTGTGCGCAAAATTTCATAAGTACCATACTATTTAACAGTACAACCTTACAGCTCATTGATGAAGAATATGTTTAGCAATTAGCAAATCCTTCTTTTGCGAAACCTTACAAGGGCCCTATTACTTATCTTTAAAAAATCCATTTAAGTGTGTAAAAGAATAAGGAAGAATGTTTGGTAATTCCAGTAACTTTTAAGGATCTATGTTAAGGGGCAAAACAGTCTTTTTATATGGGATGGAGTTGTTGGAGGTGATCGAGGGATTAGTCGAATTCTTGGAGATCCAGGGACATGGGATGGAGATTTTGAATTTCTTAAGAGGGAAAATTAGTATTTGTAACATCAATAAGTAAACCTCCTTAAAAGGGCGAAAAAGAAAAGACGGAAAATCCCAACTCATTGCCTTCATCCTAATGGACAAAGCAATATGTAAAATCTACCAAACATGTCACTTTAACCCTTATAATAAGTTGCCAAACATGCCCAAAGAAACAACAGTAAATCACCTGTGTTTCCCCAAGGGTTAGGCAGTGGATTGGTATTCGGAGCAGGAGACCCAGCAGTTGCTTCAGAACCAGCAGTTGTTGAGTTCGTTGACCGATCTGTGGTCTGTGTAGTGCCTTGGTTCCCCAAAAGGGCTGCGAATGGATTTGACCCTGCCCCATTTCCAGTCTCCCCTGCCATTGTTGTGGCATTCAGAAATGGCTCCTGAACAGTTTCATACATGCGCCTTAGCATATTAAATCCTTCTGGGGTAGATTCGATGTTGCTCATAGCTCTATCTGTGTTGCGCATCATTTCTCTCATAATTTCAGGATTCCTTGCAGCTTCCAGAGTCTGCCTAAGAGTGCTGGGGTCATTAAGTACATGTGCAAGTTCAGGATTTCGGTCTATTATTTCCCTCATTTGAGGATTGTTCATAATCAAGTTGCGCATTATGTCAGGGTTGTTCATCATGTTTTGGATGGCGGGCAAGTTCATTAATTCCCTCATCATGTTAGGGTTCTGACTTAGCTGTTGCTGCATCTGATCAAGCTCTGGAAGTCCAAATAAACCAGAACCACCAGTGCTGCCCAGACCATTGAGTCCAAGACCAGGAAACAATGAACTACCAAGACCTTCTCCCCCAAGACCAGCACCTACACCTCGTGTAACTGCCGAATTGCTTCCAGTACCTGAAGCCCCAAGGTTGCCTGCTCCTGCATTAGTATTAGCCAGGGTTGGTTGTGCTGCAGCTCCACGAACCAAATGAATAGTATGATCGTTTTCAACACCTAACAATGATACAGTAGGACCAGTTTTCAGTCATAAGCATGAAAGGAATGAGGAGAAACAAGTTTGTATGGACATAAGAATCATGCTCTTAAATTCCCAGACGAGCAAATTCTTCATAATCACAAAAGAAAAAAAGTCAAATCACAACTAAAATCAAATAAAATTGAAACAATAAACAGTGACCTTCAGCACCAAGTGAATAGCATGATTGCTACCAAAGCTTGTGCGCCTCTAGAGCCTCCTATAAATAGAAGCCTATAATAGCTGACTGTTACATTTTAATATGTTATTCCGAGGACCAAAAAAATATTGTAAAAATTCATCATTCCTTATCTCTAACATAGTTCACTCAACACCACATTACCACAAATTCTCAGCACAGTGGCATGTGTGATACTTCAACTATTTAGTCAATTTCCTATAGTCTAGGAGGTGATCCTGAGATTATAAATTTTCAAAAAACCAGACCAATCACCAAGAACTGCATAATAAAATGCTTTCATGATTCATCTATAGAAAACTGCAGTATCAAATTTCCCAGCGCTTCTCTGTTTATGTTAAGCCAGTAACAAGAAAAGAATACAATCTTGGTTTCAGTGTAATATTGGACACTATTGAATTCAGTAGTTTCAGAGCCTTGGTAACACAATCTAGAAGAATAAAAAAAAAAATTGACGATAACATCCAAATCTGCATATTACTTGTCCATAATTGATGAAGTTTTGAAGGAAGATTTTACAAGAATAATTCTAAAATTTTAAAAGAATAATTCCATCTATGCCATATCCAACACTGACTTGTATATAAAATTAATTAATATCAAAGATATTAAAAAGTTTCTTGTTACAAATCTCCAAATGTTTTTCCCCCTTGTTTTGAACTTTTTTTTACTTTAATTTATTGATTTCTGATATTTCGTACAACTACCTTATCTTCTCACCTCGTCATCATAATTCATAATGAACATGGATTTGCGTAAGTACTTTGAGTTGCTTACTACTAAATATTTCATGAACTAAATGTTAGGCACACGTCTTATGATGCAACTGATAAGTAATGCATATACACAGAACAGTTCACATGTTTATATAAAAGCAAATGTGATTTTTATGAATCATATGATTTTTTATATTTTGATCGGGATTTAAAGAAAATCATTGACGTTGATGGTTTGATGCGAAAAAAATTGTTTAGTGGTTGCAGAATAATAACATGAACTGTTAAGGCTGGGGGCTGTGGGGGGGGGGGGAAAAGAAACTCTAGATGTAGTCGCAAAACCAAATTGTCATCTATAAGTTTTAGTTTATACCTTTTGCATGTTAGTTTTGGCCGATTTTGTCCTGTAACTAAACAAAACTACAAAACCTAGTCAGCATCAACAGATCAGTCATCTATAACTTTTATTTTTTATTTTTTATTTTTATTTTTTGTTTTTTGCATCTGAATTTTGGTCGGTTTTGTCCTGTAACTGAACACAATTACAAAACCTAAGCAATATTATGTGCTGGTTGTACTTATAGGGTTTAGTACAGATTTAACTCATAAATACTCCAATCTGCTATCCTGAGGTGATTTGTTCTTGAATAAACTACTAAAATTTAGACTAACACAACATAAGACTTAACAAGTTTCTTCGTTATTTGGTTCTAATTAAACAACATGCAGGAATCCAGTAACCAGTTGTAGAATACCTTTGTAACTATTGCAAATTCAATTTCAACATAAATTCAAACTAAAGCAAGCAGACAAAGTAAAACAGAGGAGCCTGTTCATTACAGCTTATGCACTCAAACTGTTGCTAAACCATTCTGTTTCAAACCGCCTCAATCAAACTAACACACACAAGTCAGCCAGGATCCAAAGGTCTGAAAGGAACCTTACAGAAGCAAAAGCCCCTGTTAAGGGATTAAGTGAACATTCAGCATAACAAAACCCGTGTTACTACCTTTAGCCAGGACCAATATAAATCCGACTATCATACCAGCTTTATCACGGGCCACTACAAACTTTGATTTACATTGATAATACTGAGAAAATCATTCGAGCAGAAGACTAGATATTTAAGGGTATCTTAGCCAATGATATCCCACAAAAACTCAATTAAAAAAAACCCAAGAGAAAACCTGCACATGGTTATTTTTGTTCGGAACTTGTATTTGTCTCCTCATTTCATTTCCCTATAGCCAGGATAGCAGGGTTAAAGTTTTGTAAGAAAATCATGAAAGCCCAAAGTTTTTAAAAATACTAATAGTTCTATATTTGACTAGGTTTTAGGTAGATCAAAAGGTTAACTAATATTTCTCAATGAGCCTTGGATCTGGGGTAATATTTATCCAACTGAGAGAAAAAAGCAAGTTAGATTATCTTTAACGGAGTTAGGGACTGATTAATTCACCAAGAGAATAGCAGCCTCAAATAAAAGTGCAAGCAGACTCAAGTTTACATGCATCAGTCTCATACATTTCACAGCTCCATAGTCAACTGTCAGTAATTTGGAAAGTGGTCTGGCAATAAGACGCAGAAGCCTGACAGTGGAACGTGTTTAATACATATCATATTGTTCCATTCATATATTGTATAAAACTCGTGATAATTTACTTTAACAAAAACAGACAGAAAAGCATGAAGACTTTACAGAGAAATTAAAACTAAAAGCAGTAATTCTAGTAATGGTAGCCCTTTCATTGTTGTATACACGGTGAATGTATTCTAAGGAGATCCACGGGATGGTCTATGTCATATTGCGGGTCAAAGCTTTTATGAAATGTGACTCCATGTACCGGCCTAACTGTTAAGTTTCTGATGCTTTCAGAATATCTTCCTGGATCTTTACTAATCTAAAATAACCCAACATCTCCTTTTCACACTGATTTTATAGCCTTAATTCGCTACATAGAAGCTGGAAACTCAGCCACCTCATGTGATGGCCATATGGTAATGAGCTTATCATCTCAACATAGTATGGGTGTGAACAATGTTCAAAAACACGGTTTTCTTATCCATGCAATCCGAGAGCAAGTCAAGATTAATTGCATTATGTTCCGATTAATCAGATTATGCGGAATTATGCGTTTTTGAAATTTTTAACGTATATTTATTATTTTTTATACATAAAAATGTATATAATTCATAAAAGATGGATCATATATTAAGAAAAATGCCAATATACATGTGACTGAATAATCGATAACTAAGTAACTAAGTAACCACTCAATCCAATGCATCCATTATCCATGCATATCATAATTAACTAGCTACTCAGATAAAAGTTACTAATTAAACACTAGATTAAAATAAAAAGTTCATAAACTAAAAGTAGAAGATGGTGAACACTACAAGGAAAAGGCGGTGAAGAGGGGATCCAGTGGAAGATGGAGAAGACTGGAAGATGAGAGCTTGCCAGCGGTAGAAGAGGAGATCCGGCGCGGCGGCTAATGGAGAAGGAGAGTCCACGGTAAGTTGATTTCGGGTTTCATTTCATTTTTTTTAAGTCAGATGGAGCAGAAAGTTATCGGGTGTTTTAGATAAGAAGTCGGGTAGGTATCAGGTTTAAAACATGTTCGAGTTCATTTTTTTGACCCGAAACCCATTATTACCTGGAAGAAAAAAAGCCTCTATATTCATGTTATGCAGTGCGAGTAAGCAATTTTCGCTCCATTATGTGGTTGGCCGCATAACTGAGCGAATCAACCCATTTCCCAGCAGAAATGGACCAATTCCGCTTATTCGTCCGCATATGCGGGCCAGTAAACCGTCTTTTAGAACACTGGGTGTGAAGGCTATATGATAATGAGTTCATCGTCTCAATATACTTCAGATATGGGTTAGTCAATTTTGTGAAACTACAAATATAATGAGTTATTGATAGCTCAAAAGACTGAAAGATGGTTATGAAGGATTGCAAGCATATTACTAACACATTGCATTACTATGCCATGTGTGCCAGACGACATTAGTTAAGCCTTTACCCCAAACTTTGAGGTCGAGATAATATGAATCTATTTTCCTCGTTCAGCTCTTTTAAGGCCATGTTGGCATGTTCTCTTCTGAACAATGTTTTAAATTGCTATTGCGGCCGCCATGTCCGACATGTCGGATTTGGGGACTCGCTGCAAGGAAATCTCAACTTTCATATTGTATGACGTTTTTGACCCAATATCAGGGACATGTTAGTGAATTTTGGAAATTAGGCCGGTTTTTTTCTATTTTTAGATTACGGCTTTTAGGTTTGGGTTTACATCGCTATAATACACCTTGTCACATGCATATATGAACAATTTGTTCAAACAAAACTTGTTATTTTGTAATACATGCTTCTTTTACTTTTAACGTCTAAAAGTTTCCGTTGAGCTTTTGCAGTTGAGCTTCAAGAATGTTAACAATAGGTAGAGACCTATTCTATAAAGAAGTGATTGTTCATGCTTCAACAATTAAAATAGAAGCTCAAATTGAATGTTCCTTGCTAGTTGTTAGTCTTGTAGATTACATTTTAGAACATTATATTATATATCACATCATCAAATTTGGCACTCCAATATTTACTGCCTATCCCCGATATTTTCCCGATTTTTGCAATCTGCTATGAATTTTGACCTTCCGACATGTCCCCAACATTCGATATTTAAAACCTTGCTTCTGAACTAGAAAGTAGATATCCTTTCTTACTAACAAGCCATCTTTCATATGACACCGATTCAAGTAACGGTGAGGAATGGGGGAAAACTCAAGCTAAAGTTACATGTACCAAATGATGTCAGCCACATCTTGGTTCTTCTGCATTACCAAGATTATCTATCTCTAGCAATAGGATCCAAAGATGTTCAACATATGAAGTCATTGGCACATATATATTAATCCCCATTATTACAAGATGATAACACATCTATCTTTATCCACCAAGCCATACATCTTCTACAGTTGACAATCCAAATTGCTTCCAGCAACTTTTTATTAGATGATGTTCAAATGTTGGTGTGCATCAGTTGAAGAGTCATCATTCCAATAAGACTGGGGTTCTTCATAACTGTAGGTACTGGTAAAATAATTCAGACAAAGGATTATACCTGCTATGACCCAGATATTCATGTCTAATAATTGATGCCTGAAAAAAATCTTAGGTAGTTGTAAGTGAAACTCAAAATCAAAGCTACCAATTTGCTAAATATAGACACATCACACATGAGGATTATAAGTTGAAATATCCACTGGATAGACTCATTAAGTGACAAGAATGATAAGGTGCGTCATCTAGTATCCATCAACCATAGAAACATAATGTAAAAATACACTGGACAGATTAATTATGTATTAAAAGATCACAAGCATCGATATGTTATACTGTAACAATTTGGAAGCAAACTGCAAACATGTCATGCGACCTGCCTTAGCATAAACAGAAACTATCATCAAGAGTATAAACTAGTCGCTTTTGTCCTAAGGCCATGTTTGGATTAGATTATTTTGACTTAATAACCCTTTATCCTCTAAAATAAAATAGTGAGACATCTGATTCAAAATTTTGGAAGGGATTACATTGGACTATTTAATCTGTTAAAATAAAATAGTCCAGAGATTCCAGCTAAATGAGGGGAGGGGATGTTATTATAGTCTTGGGACTATTTCCCACTTGGGATCAGGTCCGAGAAGACCATGTTACCCTTTAATTTTCTTAAACATTATATAGGATTCCGCTCTCCAATTATTTCCTTGGACTGTGGCCATCATCTACCAAATACAGAAAGTTTAAAAAACGAACTGGAAGATCTGAACTCAGCAGAAAAAGAAATCTGAATACTCCTGGTGAGCAACTCTTAGCTATTTAATTCATGGTTTGTAATATGTTAGTTCTTTGGTAATTTTTTCACTCCACTCAAAATAATCATTCTTTATTTCATCTTTTCTTAACATTGCATCATCCTTCGGAACTGTGCTGGGCTTTGGTAATGTGATAGAGCACAAAGAAATAAATGTGAGTGTTAAAAGGCTTGATTTAAATTGCCTGGACATTACATTTAGGTGGACTAAGTTTTTTTCACCCTCTATGTTTATGCCAAAATTGCAAATTATGGCTAATTAGGTTTGATTGTCTTGACATCTATTTATGACTTTCTTGAAAAAACGTTAAATTAAATTAGATGTTTGACATAAAAAATTTACGTGAAACAACCAAAATTGACGCAGACTTAACTAAAACATGGTTGATAGGTAGAAGGGCATTGTGGACATTTGATGTTGCATTTTAACCCTATACTACTTTATAATGACAAGTCCCCAAACATGATACATATTAGAGATGTTAATAACAAATTGAACCAAACAGATTATTACAAATTTAACTCATTGTAGTCCCCAGAATAAGAGAATAGCAATATCCTATGACTATCACGAGTTAAATTAATCCAATGATAAAACAAATCCCCAATCCAAACATGGCATAGTAGCACACTACCACATGACTCATATAACGTGTTATGACCAGGATTCCAAAAGCTAAGATAAGGACAATAGCCCCTATAGAGATCTAGAACAATAGACAATAGACATGCTACACAACAATTAGAACTGCAAGACTATAATCAAAAGCAAGAGAAGTTTTCCTAAAGTTCGAAGGAAAAAAGCTCTCTGAATACTGAAAAGCTCTAGTGACATGTTAAATAACTGTTAAGAACAAAGGTGTGCTCCCAATTTCAACCCCCAGCTAGCGTAAAGGTTAGGTTTATCTAGAACTGTCTACTTTCATGTGGCATTGTGAAAACCGCTAATGGTGCAGCTTGTACACCATTTTGATTAAGCAGGTGTAGATGGGTAAGCTACCACCATATTCCTATTGCTGAAAACCATATTTAAGTTTTGTAAATAGCCTTAACTAGTATTGACAGTCTTGGTTTCAACCTTAAAAGTTCACAAGTAATATGAAAACGAAGATAAGCTTCAGCAATAGATTTTTTTTCATACATCACATGAGCATAATTGATTTTTCCTCGACCACATGTCCTTTCTTTAATCCATAGAGTCATAGACATCATTTAGTTCTTTTCCAATAAAGTGTGAATGTTAATCTTTCTCCAAAAGTAACAATATTTAATTGTAGTAAGAGGTAGAATCACATTTTAGGAAATAACCAAGTTTTGTGAACATTAGATCTTGTTATAAATTCTAGTCCTCCAAAAGCCCAACTCTATAGAACTCTCATAGCTTATCCGAAAGAAGAACAGATTCAACAGAACCATCTTTGACAGACTTTCAATGGTTATTAGCCTCCAAGAACCCAAGTGGCATAACATTTTGCGATGACATGCATATAAATTAATCCAGATCATTTTGATGCTTCTGCCAAATGTTTCTAGGTTCTAATTTCAGTCTGTTGGACCTCTGAAGGTTCAATTTCCTTATAATCCTGAAAGAATGCTCTCGTAGGTCATAACAAATAGTCGAAAGCACTGAAACTGAACGTATGATTATCCCTTGGATCATTGTATGTGCCAATTTTGAAGGTTTTGCCCCATGCATATAAGCATTTTCCCCTCTTATTAGATAGTTTTCTAGTAGGGAATCAAATTAAGCATGTATTGTTCACCAATTGTTGTTTTGGCCCTCCAGAACAACCTTGGGCCTGAATTGGTCCTGGTTAACCCATCAGTGTAGCAGTCATGTGTTCTCTTTCTTTCATTCTTTTTTTCTTTTTCTTTTTTTCCAGGCAGGAACATGTGTTTTCTCGAAGTTTAACTTAAATTTCAGGCAATAGCTTCCATTTGTAGCTCAAGCAAATAACCACCTAGCAGTGTCAAACCTCGTCAATCTTTGATGAAATAATTGATGCGTTCACTTAGAGTTCACTTAAATTCAGGTAACAAATTCTACTTGTAGCTCATGCTAAAATACCCAAGTACCAGAGTCAAACTTCACAAAAGTTCGATGAGATAACCTAAATATAGAACTGCTTGATATGGGAAGCTTAAGTAGACTATGCCACATATTTATTGCAATATACAAAATTAAGAAAAAGCAACAAATAGTAAATAAAAATGGAAATACACAAGCTAGGCATGTCTAACCTAACCTAGAAATTGCATTTCAAACAGGTCCCAAACAAACCACAATATATTTAACAGTTTCTCGATTGGATAAAAGAAATCAAACAAAAATGACAGAAAATGACTTCGTAATAAATATAGATATCTATACATGAGACACTAAACTTCCAAACATTCAAAGATGAACCACTAGAACAAAATAGAAACAGAAATTAAATTTGAAGTGGTCCGACTTTCGTCCGCCACAATAAGACATAAACACACATGCAACAGACAGAGCAATAAAGTTAAAACATATTCCAAGGCAGTGGAAAAGAAAAATAAATCCATCCCTCCTGCCAACAATTGAACAGGAAAAATCCTTCCAACTTAATTATGAAGATAAATACTAGTTCAAGCCTTCTAACTTTAATTGCCACATTAGTGGCATTACTGTCTCTTCCCTAACTTAATTCCAAAGATCATGTTACTTAATTAATGATTCTTAGCATGAAACCCAGTCATACAATCATTCCACTCCTGACTATTCTCCGTCAGTACGCGACAAAATTACAGATAAGCATTAATCAAGCAAATCATTGTCTCCACACATATTGTGTTCACACACCTGAGCTCATGTAACTCCTCAAATACAGCTAACACCTATACAAAACCCTCCCCACTACCATTTTTTTTAATAAACTACATTTAGTGCTGAAGTCCAAATACTGAATAGAAAAGTTCCTTCAACTTGATGCCTGCATGTAATAGTGATTCCTAAAAGTAATCACTTCAAACATTACCGCCCACTTTTAACTATCCCTTCCCATTTTAGTTTTATATAATCATTCAGCTTCCATCTCTCCCAATCAGCTAAGTCACAAAACTAGGGTTAAGCATTCAGCAAAGAAGCCTAGACAACAAGGAAATTACAAACAATTGATCTGCTGTCTACAAGCACCCAAACTCAAATAACCCAATCATAAACTAAATACGGTTAAATCTCATAGAAACTACCGCACTAAAAGTCTCATACCTAATTTCTTCCCCCCAATTCAAAGCTAATTGTGAGAAATTCATATAAAAAGATTAAAAAAATCGAGAAAACAGTTTAGTACCATAGCTTGCTAGGGTTTGATCGTCCTTCAAGATCCGGCCTTTATAGATCAGCCTCTGCTGCGCGGCCGGCACATCGCACTTCTCGGCGAGAAGCGCCTTGAAAGTCTCCACCGTTGCATCGAGCGGCGTCTCCACGGCGATCTTGGACCCGTTGGAGTACCGTATGTTGACGGTGGCGGTGGAGGAATCGCCGTCGCCGTCTCCGCCCATGAGTTAGAGAGATCGGAGGGATTGAGAACCCTAACCCTAAGTTAGAAGACAGAGAATTGGGGATTTTGGATCGCTTGAGGTGGAAGAAATTGGACAGGAAAGAGGAGATTTATTAGTTGAGCAGCGGAAAAAGAAAGGAATTTTAGACGGGGTTGGCTGTTTAATGCGCTGTAATGGGTCGGGTCCGTGTTCGGGTGCGGAACGGCGTTGGTATTTTGTTTATTTTATTTATAAGGGGATAAAGGATTATTCTAGAATCTCAGTTGCGGGCTTAGTTAGTCTCACGTAATTGCAATTAGGTCCCTAAATCTTTCAACGTGTTCCAAATTAGCCCGCCTGGTCCGCTATCGTTTGATTCGGTGTAGTGCTCCTTCTAAATGATACGTCCCTCGCTTTTTCTCTCCCTAGCTTCTCATGGTCTCCATTTCCCAGTAACATGTTACCTTCGCTAAAATCCCTCTCTTCACCAAAGTCAACAAATCCTTGTTCTTCATCTAGTCAATGTCTTGACAATGTTTAATGATAGACTCGTTATTAATCTATATCTATTTATATCTATATCTATATCTATACTTTTATAAAAAGAGAATTTAGATGTTAAAACTTTTAATTTTCTTTTTTCCCCCTCAAATTTTAATAAATTCTAACTATGTCACTATCTATAATTAATCTTTTATTAAATAAATATAACCACTTATTAATTATGCAGCTCATCACATTCCTAAATAATTATAATTATCAATAATATTATAACTATTAATTACAAAACAATAATATAATAAAATAATTTATAAAATAAGTATACACAATTATTGACAGTAACCAATTAAATTATTATAATAAGTATTATTTATGAATTATAGTAAAATAATTAAAATAATAGTATACATAAAATAATATATTACTAAATACCTTTAAGAATTATACTGTAATTCAATGAGCAACAAGATAAATAGAATAAGTATTTAATGCATGAATAGTGTAATTATTTTAATAATATCACATAAATTATGAATTATACTATTTATTAAGTGTTATATTATTAAATAAATCAAATATACAATTTATTATTATATTTAGAATATTTTCTCAAAGATTATTACATGATACTGAATAATATATAATTAGTAATAATTGAAAACTGACCTTTTTATAAAACAATATTTAATATTAATAATATTACTATTAATTGTTAATGATAGTATAATATAAATTTATAAAGTATTTCTAAATTTAAATTATTTAAGAGCATAATTAAAAAATAGAATTAGATAAATATTTTATAGTATACAGGTAGTATAATTATTTTAATAGTATTGTTTGAACTAAGATTTATAATATTAAATAAGGTAAATTACGGTAAGCCCCCATGAACTTTTAGCATTTTCCAATTAATAGACTCTATAAACTTTCAAAATCACACTAAATCCGTAACAACTTTTGTAGAAAGCCTCCAATATCTTTTAGATAAATTACAANCCCCCCCCCCCAAAAAAAAAAAAAACTTTCAAAATGTATTTTTATGCCATTTTATAGGAGTTATATGCAAAAATTAAAAAGTTATTATAGGTTTTCTTTCTTTAAAATAAAAAAATTATTAGGGCTTTAGTGTGATTTTGAAAGTTCATAGAGGCCAAAAATTCATAAGGGTTTAGTATAATTTATCCCGTTAAATAATTATAATAAGAAGTAACTATCATAATATGTTGTTAGCATTAAGTGTAACTATTTAAGGGACATTAGGAAAAAGCTAGCAATATCAATGTAGCTTAGTTAATTTAGACTTAAGTTAATAACTTTTAAGTCAGAGGGGTATATTTAAGAGAACATATAGATTTGGCAGACTTATTTAAGAATAATTGCAGATTTAGGAGACGTATTTAAAAAAAGTTAGCATTGGGCAATCATTATAAGAAATACATTCAATTACAATAGCTACACAATCTACTTCTTTATTATTAAAGGAGAACAACAAAAAAAGTTAAAATGAACAGTAAGCTAAGGTTGTGTACAATGAAAAAAATAAAATGAATAACCAACCCAACAATCTCTGTACTCACACGTTCTCCTAAAGCGCATTTCCCAAACTTCCCAGGTTACCACGTTCTCCAAACTGCTCTTTTTTTCCAAGCAACCGCGGTTTCAATTTCAGCCAATTGTTTCTCTTCCACTTTATCAAAACTTTCACCCCCTTCATTTTGTCTTCACAACCTAGAAAAAAACCCTCTCTCCCCCCTCAGATTGAACGGTCCTTTCTCTGCTTCTTCTTCTTTATACAGGAGCGCGCCGCTGCAAAGAGCTCCAGCTCTCCGTCGTCTTCGTCTATAGTCGGCGATTTGTTGGACTACCTTAACGAATCTTGGACTCAGTTCCACGCCACCGGTGATCCCCAAATCCCTAACCCTACTTTTTTTTGAAGGTTTTATGTTTAAATTTAGATTTGCTTGAATTTTTTGCAGCCGAAGCCAAGAGGCAACTGATCGCTGCTGGATTTCAATTGCTTAATAAGACTAATGATTGGGACTTGCAACCCGGCGGTCGATACTTCTTCACTCGAAATATGTCGTCTTTGGATGCTTTTGCCGTTGGAGAAAAGTGAGAATTTCTTTTCGAATCTGTTGCGATTGTTTTGAGGGTAGAGGCCTTAACACAATCAATCTATTTTCTATTCCTATTTAAGGTAAATTTCAACCCCTTTTAAGGTCTCTCGCTGCTCTCTATCTCTCTACTTCTTCCACATCGAGGCCACGGCCGAGGTTGGATATGAGGTATTTGTAGATTGCCGATAACTACAGATCCCTCCAATAGGTATATCCTCTGATTAGTTTTATGATGCTAATTAGGTCGGTTATGTCATTATTGATTCATTTTTTTATTTGAAATGTTGTTTATATTTTTGAAGTTGTATAATCTATATTAGCTTATTTAATTTTCTACATTGTTATTCTGCTCGCAACGGTGTAGTTATATTTTTTGTTTCCTTTATAAAGCTTCAATTTTAATCCAATTAAGATCTGAATTGGTGAATATCTCTCTTACAAGTTGAATGTGAATATTTCTAAACCTTTTGATTGCATTTATATTTGAGAATGTCCACATCCAGAAAATATTTAGTTTGTCTCTTTGATGAGTTGCTACATTGCTTACTCTAGAAATTTCTTGACAATGTAAATAAAGAATCCATTGCATGAAAATAAGGTTTAGGGTATCAAAGTTCAAAAAATTGAAAGAGAATTAGAAGTTGTGAGCAAGTCCACGTGGATTTAAATATGGAAGATTATGATAAACGGTGCAAGGCTAAGAGTAAAGATTGCTAAAGTATGATTTTATTTCAGTGTCATGGCATTTCTTATGAGTACTAAGTCAGGGCTATTGTTAGAAAATAGTTTCTATTATTGTCAAAATATCAGTTCCATCTCTGCTATATTTTGAAGCATGAGGCAGGTATGTGATCGGGAAGTATATGATACAAGATCAGCATATAGAAACTAAATATTCTACCAACATATAAGCTAACATGCTCAAAGCTATTGCATGTGCAAACATATACTTCAGAAAAATTATGTACTATAATGTTTTTCTTAAGAATGTTTGTGTTGGATGATTGACAGAATTAGCATTGACAGTTGCCTGATCTGTATAGATCAAGAAATTGATAGATTATATGTCATCTTTTCTCTCTGTCTTTACATTGATCATATGATTTCTCAGCTACTGTGATTTCTTTGTCATCTACTACTATGTTCGCTGATCAATGACTAGGTCATGGATTGGAAGAACTATTTTTTGGGGCTATGATCATTAACATGGTTTGCGTTTCTCATGAGTACTAAGTCGGTGATATTTTGTTTTTACAAGTTTGTGCATTTATTGAATGCGTAATGTGATTGTTTTTTTAAAGTGTTAGAGGATTAATAGAGGATTGTAGGGTGTAAGGAGACATAAACATATTTCTCAAAACAACTCTAGGTTTGCCTAGGAATTGTTTTTGATGAATTTTAGTATAGGAGTCATGATATTAAGGACATAAGTTAAAAATTTGTAGAATTTTATGGTTTCCCCCCTATATTTGAAGAATCAATAGTTTTTATGCCCTTCTGGTCTGCTTCCCAAATGAGCTCTAAATAAGGTATGTAACTCATATTTTGTCCCTAAATCAAATTAAGTTATGCTGAAATTGTGAACTCTCTTGTCATGTTTAATGCATTTACCAACTCTCCTTAAATTCTCTTTCGAAGCTCAATATAGTTATTACATAAGCGAGCAATACTATAAACGTTGTAAGCTTCTTTGGCCTTTTCCTTTGGGATAAGAACCTTAGTGCCTGTGCGCGAATTTCATCACATATGATGGCCCTTTGTATGTATAAGGGGCTGTTGCACTATGGTATGTTACTATGATTCCAAAAAAGATGGTCACTTTATTTCATGTTTCATCTTTGATTTTTTTTTGTAGGGGGTTTCCAGCATGCCTTGAGGAAGAGACAGTGACCAAGTTTTTGCTAGATTGTTTGTTGACAAATTAGGGTGGTTCTGACATTATAGGCTAGATGGATGTTAGTAAAAGTTCTAAAGATAATTTAATTTTTGTTATTCTACAAGAAATAAGTGTTGATAGTTCAAAGTTTAATTGTTGTCTTAAGAAAAAAACCTAATTGAGGCAATGTAAGCTTAGGATTATGCATAATCTCCTTGGGCAAATTAGTTTAAAGATTCCCTACTTGCACATGTATTTCTATCTCCATAGATATTAGTATTGCACGTAGACTAATTATTCTATAAACATTGATTATATCTTTTTTTCAGTGAAAGAAAACTTTCCATTTTCCATGAGCATACAAAACATAATAATCTCTATATACAAATTAACCCAGGCATACCCAAGTAAGCTACAGACATCTCAAGAAAAAGATACAATCCCCAAGACTCAACAACTAATACAAAGACTACTACATGGCTAAATATTAGAAGCATCATGACAACGAAAGAGGCCTACAAAAACATAAAACGTGATCAACTTTAACACTTCAACAGGGTTCTCTCTTACCTCCATGCATTCTACAGTTTCGTTCTTGCCAACTACCATAACCAGCAACTGGTAAGGCTAATCTTTTGATTATTTTTGTAACGTAATCACCCAAC